GAAAATAGCTGGTCAGTGTAATTCCCATTCCTTTTTTTCGACTCTTTTATCAGGAAACTTGCCATCATCATACTCTACATGCAAGCAAATTGGGTATGTTGTCAGGAAAAGAAGAGGCATCCTGCCCGCAGGAATTTCTCAGCACTGGTTTCCTGTATAACAGTCAGCCTTTTTATAAATAGAACCTCATTCCATGCAATGATATAATATTAATCTGTCACCATATTTGGCACAACCATAGGATCATGAACTACTTGCTTGCTAATTACCATTTGAGCTCATACACAGAGCACAGGCTGTGATAATATTAGCTTGGTCAGAGTCACAAGTATGTCAGTGCCAGCAACAATCCAGTGTCTGTTTCCAATCTCTGAAAGTGTCATAACTGCATCCTTTCGTCCCCAGAGGTAAAATCCTGAATAATTTGTCTTGTCACTCAGAGCCCTAAAGGAAATGACAGTTTCGTTAACTGTTCATATGAGAAAAAAGCTTTTAAGAAGACAAGTAAATGTATATCAGGCATGCTTAACTACTATTTATTAATTATTTTTTAAAAGCTTGAAAAGCTTCACCAGACTCCAATATGTAGGAGAAACAATTTGTTACCCCACATCTTGTAAGAAAATTAGAGGAAGGACTGGAGGAAGCCCAGGGCCATCGTTACAAAGGCACTATCCTGCCAGGAGCTTTCTCAAGCAACCTAAGGGAAAACAATGTGGATATGATTCTTGTGAGTTTTACAGTTGCCCAAATAGTTCTGAATGGTGTCAGTGACACTAATCAGTCATTTATCAATTTCCCCCTGCTGCTTCTCATGAAAGCTCTTGATTAGCTACAGAGGTCTTAGGCTGGGCTGTCTGCAGGCTCAGGAAGGTGGTGCTAATCCAATGTGTTCAGCTCACACGCAGAAGGCTGCCTTCAATCAATATAGATTTAACTTTTTCCGTACTTGAAACAAAAAGTCTGTAGGAACTGATGATTTAAGTCTTTTCATTCAATAGGTGAGCTTTCCAAATCCAAAAGTTTCTGAATTTATTAGATCTGGATAGTGGTAAAACAGTAGTAGCATTTGTTACATTTCAGTCACATTGCCATTAGAGACAGTGGAAGTTTAGACAAAGATATGGGACCCATGTCTGTGCTGTAAAATCATCTCTTAGCAGTTTCACTGAAATTGCATAAAATGGTTCCCATTTTTCACATTTGTTTAAAACTAGAAGTCATTTCCTTCTAGAGAAAAATCTTCTAATCCTCTTTAGAAGGATTAAAATGTAAAAATTTCTAGCAATACAAAGTAGATCTGTAGGTGGATTTTATACCTGTCTTTTCGGTCTTGTAGCTGATAAATTAATCATTACCTGTTTCGTATTATTGAGCAAGTCTGTATTCTTAAAGGCATTCAGTGCAAAATATTCCCTCAGCAAGTGAAAACTCGAGGTTGACTAATCTTACTTATGTTAACCACTACAGGTAAGGTATGATTCCTGCATCTGAAGATGTTGACCAAACAGTCATCTAGTAAAAAGCATGTGAACAGTATAGGCAAAGGAGATAATAATAATATCCTCTCTTTGATATCTGCCTTTATGCAAAGGGATCTAGTCCAGCCACTGTTTACCTGTGTGTCGGTTACCAAGAGAAGTCCAACTGCAATCAACAGAATGACTGCGGAAAGTTAAGCAAGTATATCAAAGCATGCAGGAACAGAATTCAGGAAAGATGAGTTAATTGGAAATCTGAGGAACTCAGCTGGGAAGCTGTGCACTGAGTTCCTGAGATAAAGGCCCGTATTTTTAATTACCTCGGTGGAAAAGAACAAAATTAAATTATTTTTAGGAAGTACTGAGAACATATGTCTGATGTGCTATGTAATAAAAAACCACAGAGATGTCAGTATTTGCTAATTATTCTTGCACTTTAGTAGAAAAATCCCACGTCTATTGATCATTAACTAAGCATTAAGCTTCCTCTCATTTTGAGGATGATTAATAAAAGTAAACTGGCTTTGGTAGTTGCTGTTATATAGTAAACATTTGTCGACATTTACCCAGGTAAATGCAGACATTTTCACCAACACCAGAAGCATGTGGATTTGACACATCGTTTCAATGAAATCCCTCACAACTGTGAGGGCAATGCTTATGTGTTGAGAAATAATCTTGAGAGAAATAATGTTTCTGGAAGCAGGTGTAACCATCTCAAGAAAGAAAATTATTGTACAGTTTGTCTCTAAAATCTTTGGAAGATCTTATGAAATTGAGTAAATGAGTTAAGGTCGGCAGTAGGCAACTACAATTTGTCCAACCTGCATGTTCTGAGTAAATCAGTCCTTATCTAATTGTCCTTGTTTCTAAGCCTAATTGTCCTTGAAAGTATTATAAGCTGTTACACTTTCACACAAATGAGCTGCTCAGGAAGAATTTGTCAAATACCTTAGCGCAGGTTTTATTCTATGCCAGATGCTTTCTGCAGACATGCTTTCATGGCTTTGTCTACAGCAATTGTCTAGCTGTCAAAAGGAAAATACCATTCCTGAGCTCTGTTTTCACATGTCTTTTCCAGTATTTCATCATATTGATTCAGTGCAGGTGTGTTTTTGTTTTGTGGGCATTAGAGATATGTGAAATGAGAGTGCTTAAGCTTGTCCAGAAAAGACAAGAACTTGTTGCAATTCCCGAAGCGACGGCAGCTGTTGGTTGCACAAGCTATTCTGTGTATAAACTATGGTTTCCAAACAGAGGTCTGGTTCAGCGACCATTTAAAAGGCTGAAAGCCACACAGTGTGTTCTTCTCAATTAGCACACATACCTGCAATTTAGAGCACAGTGCACCAATATAATATTAAGATTTATAAAAGATGGTTTAGGATCCATTGTATCTCATCAGCCATACTAAGAAAGAAGGGCTAATGCTGGAAATATGCTTGTTTCCAAGCTACAAAAGACAGTACAGACAATTACTGAAAGCATATGGATTTTCTGATTCTCCTAAAAGCAGTAAAAGCTGAGAAATGAACCCATTCAACATAATCTTTATTTTTAGATTTTTCTTATTTTACTTTATTTTTATATCCTATCCTCCCCTGAAGATGCCCCTATGCCTTTGCCCTGGCTAGTGCTGCACTCACATTGTTTGTTTCAGTGAAGCCAACGAATCTGTCAGCATGACCAAGGGCTGCAGTTAAGCGTATCCGAGCACTATTCCCATTGCTCTGATAGGAAATGTGAGTACCCAACTGCTCTCTCCCCTGTTACCAATGATGTGCTGCCTCCCTGCCAAAAATCAGTTCAGGTTGGACGGGAGCCCTGGAGACCACCTGGTCCATCACCCACTCACAGCAGGGCCAACTCGCATGGGGTTTCCCAGGGAGAGGCGTTGTCCAAAAGCAACCGGCAAGGTACAAGTCATGCCTTCGCTGCACGCCGGCAGCTGTGCCGGGTGACAGTCCCTGCGGGCAGTGGGAAGCCAGGTCCTACGCAGAAGTACATTTGGTCCAGTCCTGTGAGACTGGCATATTGACGTGTTCTCAGCCCAGGGATTTTCTCAGCTAGTGACTCAGTGGGGAAAGACCATGTTAGTGAAGATCCAGCGTATGGGTTTTCTTTTTTTTGTGTGATGTATCACCACCGCAGGACACGTCGTATCTCTCAGGGGCAGCAGCCCTGCTGCTGCATCCCTGTCATGGTACCCTCCACCGCAAGGCACACACTCCAGTAGGAAGAGGGGCAACAACCTCCAAGGAGGCTGCTCCCCAGTGACCACAGGGCATGTGTCTGAACAGCAAGTCCTGTGCCAGCCCAAGGTTGTGGCCAAACCCGGGCTGGTAAGATGCTGGGACCATGCTCTAGAGCCCAGCAGGACCATGCTTGAGGTCTCCTTGCCCAGGAGCACACACGTCCCACCCAAGGTGTGGGACACGTAGCCGTGCGTGCTCAGCCCTCACCCTGGCGCCGTCCAGGCAGGGGACGTCACAGCGGCTGCTGGCCAGTGGGTGAGATTGACTCTGCTTCAGATGATGGAGTACGTTACTTTTGAAAAAACAAACTTGTCACACCATTTTGCCTGCTCCACAAGAGTCACATTGGCCCGTGACACTACCTGCTGTCCCACAGCAGAGCAGTTTCCCTGGGAACCAAGGGTCAACGCAAATTTCTGCTACTTAAAAATTAAATTCAGCCTTTTAGCAGTCACTCAGCCTGATGGATGAGGACCTGAACACCCACCCTTTGCCTCTGTCCCCTCCACAGTACAGCTGCCCCTACCCAGAGCGGCTGGTGGTCAATGTCAGCTAGCTTTCCGTGAGGGTAGAGGCTTTTCATTTTTCTTGGTGTTAAAAGGGTCAGCACTTTTTCATGTTTGAGATGTCATGTGGTGATTTCTCAGGTAAACCAGATCAGAAGTTGACAGCAATGTTGACAGCTTATTTTTCCTTGCAGAACAATGTCATTATTTGTGCTTTTGAGAAGTACAAACCTATGCATAAAACATATTTCAGGTAAAGGGGTACTGCCAGCTGACAAAAAAAACCCCTTGCTATTACCTATTTGTGTTACAAGCACTTGGATTACCAGAAATGACAGGTAGTTTTTTTCCTCTATTTTTCTCTGGTTTGTTTGCCTGGTCATTTGACAGTAATCCGGTGTTTCCTTTGAATATCCAGGTTATTAATAATTTTCCCCTTTTGTTTTGTGTGAGCCTTTCATATTACAATGAAGAAATCAGTCTCACCAGGAAAATGTGATTGTAGTGGTACAAAAACTGGCCAGGGATTCAGGATGTAAGTTTTTTTTTTAAGCAAGGTGTGCAATTGATGTTGTATCTTACGTTTTTATATTAAATACTTAATCATGGCATATAATTCTGTGGCTTGTTTTTAAGTAACCTAGCTTTGAATTTCAGGATGGAAAAGTGTGTTGCTTTAATGATAACTGTGTAGGTTCTCATCAAAACGAAAGTTTGGTCTCATTATCCCATTGTTCTCCTTTTCTTTTTTCTCCAAGCTGCCTGTCTCGTCCTGGGTTGTATGATTTTTCCTGATGGCTGGGATTCAGATGAGGTAAAACGGATGTGTGGTGAAAAGACAGACAAGTACACGCTGGGGGCTTGTTCAGTCCGCTGGGCATATATCCTGGCGATTATTGGAATCTTGGATGCCCTGATCCTCTCATTTCTGGCATTTGTGCTTGGCAACAGACAAGACAGCTTGCTAGCAGAGGAGCTCAAGTTGGAAAACAAAGGTAGGACTGCTTTAGAAACACTATTATTGGGTGGCCTCGAGGGCAATTGCTTAAAAACAATGATCGGTTTCGTTTTATTTTATACTTAAAAGTTGGCATGCTGGCTTACTTCCTAAGTTGCTGGGAAAGAGGAAATGCAAGGGGCAGAGGAAGTTTTGCTTTTCAGCCTCCAAAATCTAAGAAAGTTCAAAATTGCCATAACTGCTGCACTATGCATGACTTATTCTTAACAGTTTTTAGAGCTGTAGATGGAATGGTTTTGTGTTACCTACTTGTACTTTATTTCATTAGCATTTAAATTTCACTATCTCCATCTTTTTCTGTACCCCATGGAAGATTTGTTCCTTTGGTTCCTTTAAGATTTTGCATTGTAATATGAGCGGCTGTAATATGGCATTTGACTGTATGTGTTAGTACAGTACACAGTAAGGAGGGAGTGTTGGCTTGGGAGGTTGGTAATGAGCTTGTAATGGGGCTGCCTATACAGCAAGGCACCGCGGACTAAGGATCAGAGCCAGGAATGAAGAAGAATCCTAGTTCTTGTTTGATTGTGTTGCTTTGAGCTCATTAGTCAACTCACAGGAATCTAGGATGCTGTAGTAACTGAATATTCATGCAGTGGGTTGGGGATAAAACACATTCCTAGATTAGAAGAACATGAAACTGGCTCAGCACAGTAGTTTATCATGCAGTTGCAAGAGGAGAAATGCTGTTCAGCGAGCCTGTGCAAGCCTGGCTGATTTCTGCCACCCCTTCCCCTCGTACTCCTCCAGCATCCCCAGCTGAGTATCTGATGTGACAGATACTACAGAGGCCACGTCCCTGCCTTGTCTTCTTAATGGGCCTGTTGTGCCTGGATCTGTCTAATCCCTTCTGAACCTGCTGATACTGTCGGCTTCTACAGCACCGCGTGGCAGCGAGTTCCTGAAGCTCACTACTGACTGCTAAAGAAGTACTTTCTTTTATCTGTTTCACATTGATCCCCTACTGTTTCCACCAAGTGTCCCCTAGTGCAGGATTCTGCATGCAGCTCATCCACCACCTTTGTAATTTTGTAGGTTGCTTCTAATAATAGCAAAGATATTAGGAGCCCTTCACCACTGGTTGGAAATCAAAAGCTGTTTGGCAGCCTGTGTTGTACAAAAATAGCTGGTCTCAGTCCTGAAGGACCATTATCCATATATCTGAAAGCACCAGCACACTGGCCCCAGCTTGCTGAATTGCAGGCAGTCAGCACACTCAGCCCAAAGATAAATGGACTTCAAGATTGAACTTTACATGCGATTCCAGACCTGGTTAGAGACTACTAATGTTGTAGGTTGAGGAAAGTGTAAGTTGCTTGCAATTGCATGTGTACAGCTGTTCTGCAGGTAAACTTTTGAGGGCATCAATTTCAAGGACTGTCCCCGTGGCCCTTTTCTGTAAGGATAATATTCATCTGCATTTGAAAATTAATATGCTTATCAAAATAGCATTCACAGCTATGCCACAAGTGCTTTTGGCATCAGCCCTGTGTCTGATTTGTCTATACCATACAGAGCTCATGAACCCTACAACTACTTGTCTCAAAGAACCTCATCTGTTTTGGCACCTTATGAGCAAAAAACAACTTCTGGAGGCTCACCACCTCTCACGTTGCTGGCACAAGCTCCTGCCAGAACATTTGGTCCTCAGCGTGTCAGACAAAATCATTCAGCAGCTCATTTTCCTTGGATTAAGCACAGAAATGTACCACACCACCAGCTTCAAAGCAACCCAGAACTCAACAAAAAGGGACCCACCCCACTTTGTCCTTCACAGTCAAGCCTAATGTTCACCACTTTTTAAACTGTCTTTCACATGAAAAGAAAAAAAGGCAACTTGTCTTTTAAAAAGGACATCCTCTCCCCACTCATCACAAAAAGCTTCTGCTAAGCAACAACAGGGCAAGTCTAAATCCCGCTGCAGCCCCCAGCATTTCCCCACCCGCATGTGTCGCCGCCAGGCAGAGCCGCAGCCCCGGAGGAGTCCCAGGAGAGCACAGCGGGGGCAGAGGTGGACACCACCCCCCCCATCAGTGGTGGGGACATGGCAGGTACCAGTGCTAGCAGAGCACCACATCTCCACTTCGCTGGCCAGAGACCAGTCCTTCTTCTGGCTATTTGGACGCCAGGAAACCCTGCATCCTAGTGAGCAAATATCCTACCGATACAACAAGGCATGAGCACTTAATTCCTTCCAGTGGTCTCTGATTGCTGTACAAGATGGGCTGCAGCTTGCCATCCCCAACACTGTGCTGATGGAGCAGGGCTCTGGGGTGTGGTCCCCTCAGACCAAGGAGAGGTTTCTGCCAAAAAGGCTGCACTCTGAAGAAGGCACTGGGATGTGTAGGTAGTACTCATGCATTTTTGCAGCTAGAAGTCATTTAACGGTGTTTAGGAGGAAGATTTTGGGTTCATATGGCCAGGATTGTGAGGCAGGTTTTGTAATCCTGGCAGTCACTGGCTGCATGCTCAGGTGACCAGTTTGGGGCAGTGGTCTCTGGTTAGAGGGGGTGTTGATTACTTACACCATAATGATGAAGAAGCTGGTAGAACATTAGGGCCAACACTTGTCCTTGAGTTGGCACCAAACAACCTCTTGTCTGTATCCCTGGTACTCACTGCACATGCATGAGGGCTTTGACACTTATCCCGTAAACTACGTCCCCTTTTCCCCTTTCAGGTTAAGAGATACTGGAGAACTACTCATCAGCATTAGTCCACATGCAAAGTATCCGTGCGTCTCTTGGAAATGGTCAGGATGCGAAAATACTGAAATATGCAAATATCACTAGCATCCTCCCATGCAGACAAGAAGATAAGACAAAGGATATAAGCAATACCACTCTCAGCCTCCCAAGCTACTCTTACAATGTGAAGTCAAAGCCCTCATAACAAGTAGTAGCCATGAATATTAAACACCTCCTCATCCCTTCTTCCCCCTCCTCATCTACATGAGGTCTGCCTCCAGGCTTGTGCTGGCTTCTGCTTCTAGATTAGCAGGCCTGGATGAGGAGCATCCCATTCTCAAGGAGGAGTCCCTGCGCAGCTGCTGTCTTCCAGGGGGCAAAAAATGTGGCCGGATGGTCAGGGCTGTCCATTGGGTGGGACCCCAGTGACTCCTTCCCCTTGGTTGTGGCGATGTCCTCTGGTCACAGGCCTGGAGATCCCATAGCCGTAAGGTGTCCCCTTAAGGGACAGTCGTGGCTCCATCGTAGCTTTTCAGGAGAATGCACATGGGGAGCAACCAAGACTGTACCCGAGAGGAACCTCCGCTTGCCCTGTCAGCTCTTCTCTGCTGCCAGGGCTTTGCACCACGCATGTAGATACCATTATGCGGTAACTCAGCGGAGGGGAAGAGACAGTAAATTAAGTATAACAGTCACAGCAGTGTTCATTTATGTGGAAAGACCTTCAAGAACAAGAAATTATTAGGCAGTGATCAGACAGCTGAGCAGCTGTTTTCTTAATCAGGTAATAGTTCTGTCTGGAGGCTTCGTTGCAGATCAGCTCCCGCAGGCTCATTAATGAGAGTCTGGGGTGGCTGTGCGAGTACCCGGCACCACAGCTGTTTCTGAGCATCGGTGACAAGGAAACAGTTAAAAGTATATGAAACGCAATGAGATGGTAAACAGATGAGAAGATGACAGAAAGCAAGCTGTACTTCTCTGTAGACTTACCATGCGGAATTGTCCACCTGCTCTATGCTTTTGATGACTACAGTTCTGTATATTTACATAGGTTAATGAATGCTTGTAAGTAAGGAATTTGACTGTTAAAATTATTCATGGGAGAAGATGGCTGTATTTTTGCCGTACAAGACAGTTTTCTTTTTCACTACATGATAAAAATAGTGCTTATTCATTTCTTATTTGCTTAAGTGTGAGAGTGAAATATCATGCAGGTTTCACGTCTGAGAAATATAACTCAAGTTTAGCAGACTTTCTTCAGGTTATAGTCTATTTAATGCAGTTTCCTAATCATGCAAATTTTACACAACAATCCATACCTTTTTCATTTAGAAAACTGCCTTTTGAAGAAAAAAAAAAGATATTTCTAAAAAGACTTTCACATTATGTTTATGCCATTAGCAAAAGGAGGGGACAGAACAGTATTACATGGTTTTCTTTAATTTATAGGAACTAATGGTAATGACTTAAAGGCCTGCATGTTATTAAACTAATGGCACGCAGGGTGATAACAAAAATAGTCAGAATTCACCTTAGCTTTAAGCTTCATCAACACCATTTTGAGTGAGCCATCAACAACAGGCGTAAGCCTTGATGTGTTGTGTAATGACATAATTTTACATTTTGAACTGTAATGTCTTAATGACATAAAATTAAAATTTTGGCCAAAGGGTGAAGAGACCAAATGAGAAGTTTCCAAAAGAAATTGAGAGTGCAAGGCAATTACTTTTATGGTAGAAGGTGGTAATATGGTCTGCATTATGAGTGATAAATACAAGAGCATTCAGAAGAAACTATCCTGTTAAGTAATGTCAGTCAGAGCAGCAGGTGGAAAATGCGCTTTGTGGACAGCCGTGGCTTTTCTGATGGATAGAACAGCTTCACAAGGTGTTTATGTTTAACATTTGATTCATCTTTGGGGCCCGTATGGTCACAGATAAGCAATTGCACTAAAGATTTCCCAGGGTTACAAGCCTAAGGCTGAAATAGATAAAAGGAGCTGGGAGCTAGACAGGAGGTTTGAAGGATTCATCTACCTTGCAGTGATTGCAACTCACACGGACTTAAACTACACCACATCACTCCCAACAGCCGTGTTGCAGAGAGCTTGTTGCAGAGCTCAGTGCAGGATGCCCAACCCAGGACTTGCCAGTTGGTTGACACTTACACCCTCATTATTCTCCATACCAGTGCTGTCAGGGCCTGATCCAGGTTGTTGAAGGCTGGCTCCATACATCTGCCTGAGCTGCAGTCACTGCAGAAGAAACACCCTTAAAGACAGAAGCTAAGG